GCCAGCCATAAGCGCGAGCGAGGGCGACGAGATGTGGTCCAGCAGGTCGCCCGGCTCGAGCGCCTGATGATGATGGTGGTGGTGGTGGTGGTGCGCCAGCGGCACGGTCGACGTGGACGTGCATGGCACGCTGTTCATCGTGTGGTACGTGGCGTCCGGCTTGAACGGGTGGCTCTTGCCCTGGGACACGGCGATGTCCACGGCCGCCAGCGCCTCGGCCCGCGCCAGCAGCGTTTCGTCTAGGCTGGCGAAGAGGTTGCTCTGCAGCTGCAGGCGACACAAACCAAACCAAAAAAACCACAAAACCAAAAAAGCAAAACACAAAACAAAACAAAACCACACACAAGCCAGAAAGCACAACAAGCAAAGGACAAACACAAAGCAACCAAAACAGCAGGGTGGGGGTAGCGGAGAAGGGGAAAGACGGAATGGGGGACACATTGGGGATGAGAAAGGGGTACAAACAAGAAGGGTCGGGAGTGGGGAGGAAGACAGATGTGGGGAGAAGGGAACACAGGAACACATTCCGGGAATGGGTGAGGGAGACGAAAAAAGAGGGGGGAAAGAAGAATTGGAGATGTAACTCGCAGCTGGGGACCCGTGTCGCGCACCCGAACACGCAGAGATCGCCCTTCGAGGCACTGAATTAACAGAGAAAGTGGAGGAAAGTCGAGAGTCACGGCCCCAGCGCTCCCCACTCGGATCGCAGACGCCTGACACGGAGGCAGGGGCTACAGGAACACGACATTAGCGCCGCTGCACAAAACGTGCCAAGCAGCGGGATTCCTCTAAAAATTCCTGCCCTCGAATCCCCGCACCGGGACCTCTGCGCACACCAGCACCCAACATGCAGCGTCTCCGATACGGGGAGGGGGCGGGTGCGCGGGCCGGGACCGCGGGCGTGGGGCGCTTACCGGCGGCGTGGGCAGGCAGGCCCGCCGGATGGCCTCGGAGCTGGAGTGCAGCGACGGGTACTTGTGCTCAGGGAGGGTAGGATGCATGGCAAAGTGAGGCTGCTTGCTGTTCATGGACATCATCTTGATGGCTTGGCATATAAATCCACAAACAGTCCGAAAGTCCGCGGGAAAGTGCGCACGCCGGCTATCCTGGCCTCCCTTTGGAGGCTGAGCCGCGGCGGCTGGCGGCGCGGAGGCGGCGGTCGCGTGGGGGACTGCTGCTGCTCCTGCTGCCGCCGCTGCCGCCCCGCGCTCCCTTTGACCGCGCAGAGCGCGGCGCGCCGGCCTCGCGATCCCACTTCTCCAAGAGCTCTAGCCCCGCGCGCGGACGGGATGCACTCCTCTAACACCTGAGCCCCACTTCTCGCGGCCGGCCCGGGGAGCTCTCGCGAGAGCTCGCGGCCCCGCCGCGCTGACAGGCATCAGCTGTCTTCGTCTGTCTGACGCGCGCTCTCCCTCTCAGCGGCGCCGTGCGTCTGCGCGCGCGCGCGCGCGCGCTTACCAGGCAGGGACCGGCGCGTGGGAGCAGCTCTTATAGTGACCACCAGCAAGGACAGCGCAGGTGATGCACCTGTAGCTGCCCGGGCATGCGCACTGTACGCCTCACCTTTCCCACTGCGGGTCTGGAAAGATCAAAGAGCCAGCTATTGTCTGAGTGTAGGCATCTTTTAAGGAGAGGAAGACAAGCTGTTCGCTTGAAGCTCTGAGGTTTCCCCTCTTCCCAACCCCCGCCCCAGCGCAAGCCCTGAATATATGCGCATTACTTAGGCACACCGCCTCTCCAGGATGTCTAACAAGCTGTTATATAATGTATACAGCTGGGCATTTGTATGTTAAATTATGCCCGCGCATTCTTCTGTATACAGTATAAATAACAACATAGAAATGCAGAAGATGCTGTCTTTTGCTGCAAGAACCTGTTTCTTTCAAGGTTTATAAATAGATTCTTGAAGAATAATCGTGATGACAGACATTTGTTTGAAGCAGTCAGGCGCTATTGATTTCCATATAATTTAATTTCCTCCGCATACCTTGTTGTTGTTGTTGTTTTTGTGATTATAACTGTGTCAGGCACCGACAGTGACAGCCACTTAGGAGCCACAAGGAGCGTGTGCTTTCTACTCGGGAATGGCTGTTGAAATTGTTCATTTCTCTTATTGTTTGTCTCCTTTAACTGTGTACAAACCCACATTTCAAACGAGCTCTGCATGATCTGAGGCTTCTAGTAAACAAAAGGAAAAATAGTTAACAGGCTGTAGTTGGGATCTTTTCCTCTCCTCAATGTGCGCGCACGCACACACATACACACACACACACACACACACACACACACTTTATCTTGGAAACTCTAGGAGAAGGAAATAGCTTCAGAGAAAAGGGAATAAAATGTCCAAAAGAGAACTTCATTTTCCCTTCCATCGTTTTGTCTTCTTCCTCTTTAATCTCTACTTGTATATGTATTCTTCAGTAGGAGACGGATCAAGTAATTTTATAGAAAAAGATGATTAAAGTATTAATTCAAACCAATTTAAAGAATGAGGCCCAAGCTCTGGTCCGCCTTGCACAGTATTTATTTTTATTATTGTAAAATCAAAACCTAAGAAGAATAAATCAATTACTCAACCTATTATATGGCCCTTTGGTGGCAAGCAGATTAAGGGCCTCCCCGGGGACCAAGTTCAGGTGCCTGAGTCCCCAGGGACGCAGCTCTTGCCCGGGGTGATAATAACAGCCCAGATGTCATCACATCTGCGGTGAGAGAGCTGGAGAGCGGCAAGGGGCTGCTTATGGGAAGCAGGGATTAGATAAATAATTTTTCTGGTCTCTCCCACAACCAAAGAGATCTATATTTCCACCAAAGAGCAGATCTCATTTCTATAAACCTAAATTTCCGTTCGCGTTGATTTTATCTTTTCTCTGGACAAACGCGCGTGTATTTAGCATACCCACTCACTCACTACTCAAATTCCAAGAGGAGCCCACAGGCGTCCCCATGCGTTTCTCTTTCTTTTCTCTCTACCCC